TTTTATCCAAGGAGCAAAGGTTTCTGGCACGCATAAGGGACGCAACTCTGCACAGAGAATGCGGTGTCCTACATCACGAGGCCACCCGGATTCCCAGAATATCATGACACATATAAAGCAGATTGAAGAAGGACTCCTGACTATGTAAAGCCAAATAAACATGGACATAGTCTGCACTTGGGAGCCCCCACAAAGACATCAATACCAATACTGACCATGACCTGGAATGCCTCCCCAATCCTGCACTCGCCCGATGACGTCGTGATATTGACTCTGGAGGCGTCGGGAGTCGCCGTGAATATCATGGGACTACCCAGAATCTCTTCCCCGTCGTAGTACACGTGTATCTGTGGAGGAGAGGAAGTGGCACCTGTACTGCAGTTATAATAATAAACACGCAGGAGAGAGTCTCCATCATTAAGCTATCACGGACCAGGGTATGGTCAAGTATTTCCGTCATCATGCCGGTATGAAACATTCTCACCAAATACCACTGTCATACCGTTGGACTACTTGTGCTAGTTGCTAGTGGCATTTTCATTGTCATTGTTATTGTCATGTTGATAATTCGGAGTTTCAAATCTTTCTGATGAAAACATACGGATGCTGTCTGTGTATTGTGTATTTGTGTTAACCGAGTCTAGTAGGTGGAGATCAAGCCTGTGTCGTCATGACCCTGACGCCCGTGGACATAAATCCGCCACACATGACGCAGGAAACACTGCCGAGAAGCGTCGTAAAATGTCCCTCAACATTTCGACAATTCCATAAACCGCATTAGATGGAGTCATGCCTTTCTTAAGTGTGTGACTGTGTATGTGCGTGCGTGCGTGTGTATGTGCGTCTGTGTGTGCGTGCGTGAGTGCGTGCGTGTGTGTGTGTGTGAGTAGACGAGTACCATGCTTTAGATTTGTTTATCAAATTGGAAATCAGCGTTTGAAACAATTTGGTAATTTTGTATTCATTGCTGCTCTCCAGAAACACACACTCAGACCAGGCCTGCTTGTCACACACGGACACGTGGCTCATTACATTCCCGCCATATACACTCACTGATCATATGCCCGCCACATACACACACTGATCATATGCCCGCCACATACACTCACTGATCATATTCTCGCCACATAGCTCACCTGATGTTCCCCAGTCTCGGTAGGGATGAAGGAACAGTCCACGACCTTGTCCTTCCACTTCATGTCACAGCGAGGCTGTGTGCTGGAGCCCCGGATGTCAATTTTTGTTTTCCCTTTAGCCACGTCAACGTCTACAATCTCCAGGGAAAACGCTGCCTAGCAACGGACAACAACGCCATTACGGACACGAATGAGTATCACGATCAGTTAAGGTGCGTTGGCAAGTTATGTGCAACTCCCTACACTGATATCTTCCCGAGGCAAGGGAGTAACTGACTGTAAAAGTCCAGTTTCCGCACTTGCCGAACTAGGCTGGAATTTCTGCGCTCGATCGTAGCGCCACCTTTGGCGATTACAAGTTATGTCCTTTCTATGCCCCTCCTATTGACCAATCAGATTCCATCTCTCATATCACTTGCATTTGCTAAAAACAAAATGGCGTCTCCCAGTCAAGACGATCTGATCGATGATCAAGATCTATATTTTAATAAAACGGGTCTTACCTCGCGAAGTGCATCAATCGCGTAAGTACGTTGATTTGAAACATGAAAAGATTTGGAAAATATCTGTCGACGACCAGTTGACGGGACAGATCCTTTGCAAATCCTGCGAAATCTACACCTTGAAATCTATGTTTTTTACGAACCGGATGTTTCGTTAAATGATTTTGATTGGACTATGCGTAGACTCGTTAATGCAGCTAAAATATACCTCCATAATCCAAACCTTGTTCGGCAAGGGTGGAAACTGGACTGTTACTATCAGTTAACTCCCTTGCCTCGGGAGGATGTGCACCGATGGCAGCACTGCACACTTGTACATGGTAACATGACCCTGTGTAACAAGAGTTAGACTTGGCAACTGGAGCATGCAGCCTCGTCACTCTTTAAATCAACACTGGTGTTATCTATTACTTTTAGTGTTTTGCTACTTTAACAAATATGACTGGGCTATAACACTATTCGGATGATGATCATGATTATAATGATAACGATGACGAAGTTTCAGTTATACCCGGGCGCCCTCCTTGATTCTAGACAGCGTGCAGTTCATGACGAGTTTCTCGGCCTTGGCCTTGCGTGGCGTGATCCTCTGAAACTTGCTGATGTACGCCATGAGAGCGAGCTGGTCCACGTTGGGGTCGGCCATCTCCGCTGCAGTCAGCAGGGGGTCGATTCCTAGGGCCTTCGCTGCGTCGATTCCTGCTCGCAGAATGTAGCTTGTCGTCAGTTACTTTGACAAAGTTTGCCAGAAACAGACAAAGTCGTATGGAATAGGAATCGGTTCTCTAAATGACGTAACGTTATCTCCGGCAACCATACATCGACGTTTAACACATTAGGTCTGGTATCAGGATAAGGTCTAATGATATGCGTGAATCATCACGCACCTGTTGCAACTGAAGAAATACCCACTTTAAGCAACTAATGTGGTGGGTGAGTTACGTTTCTATGTACACAAGACATATTTTGTAAACAGATTTCAGACCTTTCTGACAGTTGGCTACTTGGTCATTCCTGTCCACGTTTGGCCAGCCGGACACCTCCCCTCCCAGCGAGTGGACAATAGAGCACAGGTAGAACCCATCATTCCAGTCCGTCTGCAGGAAAAAACAGGCAAAATAGTGACTGTTCACACAGCCCATAGTGACAGCACACACAGACCATGGTGACCTCACATGCAGACACAGGCACCATAGTGACTACATATACACACACAGGCACCATAGTGACTACACATACAGACTATAGTGACTACACATATAGACACAGGCACCATAGTGACTACACACACAGACCAGGTTGACTAAACACACAGACAATAGTGACTACACACACAGACCATAGTGACTATACACACAGACCATAGTGACTACACACACATACTATAGTGACTACACACAAAGGCACCATAGTGACTACACATACAGACTAAAGTGACTACACATATAGACACAGGCAGCATAGTGACTACACACACAGACCATAGTGACTACAAACAGACCATAGTGACTACACATATAGACACAGGCAGCATAGTGACTACACACACAGACCATAGTGACTACAAACAGACCATAGTGACTACACATATAGACACAGGCAGCATAGTGACTACACACAGACCATAGTGACTACACACACAGACCACAGTGACAACACACACAGACCATAGTGACTACACACAGACCATAGTGACAACACACAGACCATAGTGACTACACACAGACCATAGTGACTACACACACAGACCACAGTGACTACACACACAGACCATAGTGACTATACACACAGACCATAGTGACTACACACACTGGCCATATTGACTACACACACATACTATAGTGACTACACACACAGACCATAGTGACTACACACAAAGACCATATTGACTACACACAGACCATAGTGACTACACACAGATCATAGTGACTATACACACAGACCATAGTGACTACACAAACAGACCATAGTGACTACACACACAGACCATAGTGACTACACACACTGGCCATATTGACTACACACACATACTATAGTGACTACACACACAGACCATAGTGACTACACACAAAGACCATATTGACTACACACACATACTATAGTGACTACACACACAGACTTAAGTGACTACACATGCAGACACAGATCACAGTGACAACACATACAGACAGAGGCACCATAGTGACTACACACACAGACTAGAGTGACGACACATACAGACCATAGTGACTACACACACAGACCATAGTGACTACACACACAAACCATAGTGACTACACACACAGACCATAGTGACTACACACACAGACTATAGTGACTACACCCACACAGACCATAGTGACTACACACACAGACCATAGTGACTACACACACAGACCATAGTGACTACACCCACACAGACCATAGTGACTACACACACAGACTATAGTGACTACACACACAGACCACAGTGACTACACACACAGACACCATGGAGACTACACACACAGACCATAATGACAACACACACAGACCATAGTGACTACACACACAGATCATAGTGACTACACACACAGACCATAGTGACTACACACAGACACGGGCATCATAGTGACTCCACACACTGACCATAGTGACTTCACACACACAGACCATAGTGACTACACACACTCAGACCATAGCGACTACACATACAGACCATATTGACAACACACACACAGACCATAGTGACCACACATACAGATACAGGCACCATAGTGACTACACACACAGACTATAGTGACTACACAAACACAGACCATAGTGACTACGCACACACAGACCATAGTGACTACACACACAGACCACAGTGACTACACACACAGACCTCAGTGACTACACACACAGACCATAGTGACTACACACAGACACGGGCACCATAGTGACTACACACACAGACCACAGTGACTACACGTACAGACCATAGTGACTACACACAGAGACCATAGTGACTACACACAGACACGGGCACCATAGTGACTACACACACACACCATAGTGACTACGCACACACAGACCATAGTGACTACACACACAGACCACAGTGACTCAACACACAGACCACAGTGACTACACACACATACCATAGTGACTACACACAGACACGGGCACCATAGTGACTCAACACACAGACCACAGTGATTACACACACAGACCACAGTGACTACACACACAGACCATAGTGACTACACACAGACATGGGCACCATAGTGACTACACACACAGACCACAGTGACTACACACAGACACGGGCATCATAGTGACTCAACACACTGACCATAGTGACTACACACACAGACACGGGCACCATATTGACTACACACACAGACCATACTGACTACACACACACAGGCCATAGCGACTACACATACAGACCATATTGACAACACACACACAGACCATAGTGACTACACATACAGACAGAGGCACCATAGTGACTACACACACAGACCATAGTGACTACACACACACAGACCATAGTGACTTCCCACACAGACCACAGTGACTACACACACACAGACCACAGTGACTACACACACAGACCATAGTGACTACACACATACACGGGCACCATAGTGACTCAACACACAGACCATAGTGACAACACATACAGACAGAGGCACCATAGTGACTACACACATAGACTATAGTGACTACACACACAGGCACCATAGCGACTACACACACACAGACCATAGTGACTACACACAGAGACCACAGTGACTACACACACAGACCATAGTGACTACACACAGACCATAGTGACTACACACACAGACCACAGTGACTAAACATACAGACACGGGCACCATAGTGACTACACACACACAGACCACAGTGACTACACACACAGACCATAGTGACTACACACATACACGGGCACCATAGTGACTCAACACACAGACCATAGTGACAACACATACAGACAGAGGCACCATAGTGACTACACACATAGACTATAGTGACTACACATACAGGCACCATAGCGACTACACACACACAGACCATAGTGACTACACACAGAGACCACAGTGACTACACACACAGACCATAGTGACTACACACACAGACAATAGTGACTACACATACAGACCACAGTGACTACACACACAGACCATAGTGACTACACACACAGACCACAGTGACTACACATACAGACCACAGTGACTACACACACAGACCACAGTGACTACACATACAGACCACAGTGACTGCACATACAGACCACTGTGACTACACACACAGATCATAGTGACTACACTCACAGACCATAGTGACTACACACACAGACCATAGTGACTACACACACAGACTATAGTGACTACACCCACACAGACCATAGTGACTACACACACAGACCACAGTGACTACATACACAGACCATAGTGACTACACATACAGACCACAGTGACTACACACACAGACCATAGTGACTACACACACAGACCATAGTGACTACACACACAGACCACAGTGACTACACACACAGACCATAGTGACTACACACACAGACCACAGTGACTACACACACAGACCATAGTGACTACACACACAGACCATAGCGACTACACACACAGACCACAGTGACTACACACACAGACAATAGTGACTACACACACAGACCATAGTGACTACACACAGACCATAGTGACTACACACACAGACCAAAGTGACTACACACACAGACCATAGTGACTACACACAGACCATAGTGACTACACACACAGACCACAGTGACTAAACATACAGACACGGGCACCATAGTGACTACGCACACACAGACCACAGTGACTACACATACAGACCATTGTGACTACACACATAGACCATTGTGACTACACACACAGACCATAGTGACTACACACACAGACCATAGTGACTACACACAGACCATAGTGACTACACACACAGACCACAGTGACTACACACACAGACCATAGTGACTACACACACAGACCATAGTGACTACACACACAGACCACAGTGACTGCACACACAGACCACAGTGACTACACACACAGACCATAGTGACTACGCACACAGACCACTGTGACTACACACACAGACCATAGTGACTGCACACACAGACCACAGTGACTACACACACAGATCATAGTGACTACACACACAGACCACAGTGACTGCACACACAGACCACAGTGACTACACACACAGACCATAGTGACTACGCACACAGACCATAGTGACTACACATACAGACCATAGTGACTACACACACAGACCATAGTGACTACACACTCAGAGCACAGTGACTAGACACATAGACCATTGTGACTACACACACAGACCATTGTGACTACACACACAGACCATTGTGACTACACATACAGACCACAGTGACTACACACACAGACCATAGTGACTACACACACAGACAATAGTGACCACACACACAGACACACTGACCACAGCGGACCACTTATGTAGACCACATATATTCTCTACGACATAAAAAAAAATGAAAATACACACAAGCAAAAACAAATAATATGCGAAAGATGCTTTACCTCACACGCAAGCACATGGGATAATCAATAAGTGAATACAACACACTAGTGGTTACAGTACATCATCGGTTACAGATCCACGGGGCTACGGCATGCACGCTGTCACTTCACAGTATACGTGTTCAACTGATGCACATTTCAAATCAACAGGACATTATCCGGATGTACTCTACATCAGGTAGTCGGTTGCTGGGTTACAGCAGCTTCAGATGCTATCTTATCTCCACACGGAACACATTGCACAGTTGTTGCAGACAGTGGGGTGAGACACGGACTGAGCGTGGGACAAGGATTGCGTGGTATAAGGGTCTGCTTTCAAAGGTTCTTATATTCGAATGAATTCCGCATGGAATGTGTCTCATGGTTGTAGAACTGCTGAAAAAGTACCATTTTCACCGATTTTGTTCTCTTTTGGTAACATTTTCGACGATAAAGGAATGCTCAGCGTGTTTTGAATGTTTCTAACCGGGACTTCGGAAACGAAAGAGCGTTGTTACTTTATTTAACATGTGGCTAACTTCACCTTGAAGGCTTTGTTTTGATACATGATCCGAATTTGACTTCACGTGTCGGCTTAAAAATAAATATCGGAATGATTTCAGAAAAGCTTAAAACACGTCAAAGTCTTTTATATTTGACGACAGAGGACGGAGAGAAGATATTCGACAGCTGCGCTGGCACGCCCTTGCAGCGTGATGCAGATCACAACATCCCTATACTAGATTAAAAACTGTTGAATACAAACGGTATGATGGAGCAACAGGCTCCACCTATAATCCGCTCATCCGACGGCATCCGAGGCTGACATTCTTCATGATAAATGCCTGTACTACATAGTTTAGATTTACCGCTGGCTGCTCAAGGCGCATATTCTTATCTCGAGACCTGGGTAATGCAAGGAAGCCTACTCTCCCCGGTTGTATTTACTTCTCCGACGAACGCATAGACCAATTACGCAAGGGACACTGTCGTCACAAGGTTTTCCTCATTCGTTTGATTCTGTGAATACCAAGTCTATGTGGCAACATGGGCAACGGAGGACGTTTCCAAAGACGTCGTTGTGTGGGGACAGTGCCTACCGTCGGGGTCTTTGCTTACAGAGCTAATATTTGGTATAAGAATTTGGTGTCAGTGTGCCGAGCTTTTGAATTCTCAAATCGATACAAGGAATTCAGCACGTAAGTTATGTCTTTTGTCTTGTACTCTTAGATACGGGAAGCATTTTGATACAAGAATCAAGCGCATTGTTTAAAAAATGTAAATAGGTGGGTTGGCCCCATAGATGATATTTCATTTTTTAATGGAGGTAAATATTTTATTCTCAGAGCTTTTCGGCGACAATGGGGACATGAGGATTGCTGGGTCTCAGTGTTGTCATTTCTTATCGACGTGATAACATGATGAACGCGGTGATCAAAGAGATAGTTTTCTTTCAAGTTATATAATTTTCACATATGCGATATGAACGTTTTAGAGCATTAAATATTGCACGCTCATGAATTAATAAGTGTCATAAAATAAAAAAGATGAAAAACAAATATTGATCAATCTTTGATATCTTTTGTTGATACTTATATCGTGCAGGGAGATATGTACGGAAAACGACTCAAACGAACGATAATTGTACTTGTTATAGCTAAAGGTTATGTTTATGTTTAGAGGTTTAAATATTTATATATGATATATCACCACTTATAGTAAATACAATTTCAAAACAACAATCGTATATATTATATATTTAGACTGTATACATGAAAGGACATTCAGGAAATCTGTATATTTTAAAATAACGCAAAAATGAAGAATAAGAAATGTCAGAATAATTATCGTGGATTTAACAAGTGATGAAAACGTGACAAACGAATAAACATTATGCATTAATGAATTCTTAATATTACAAAATAAATGGAACCATTGAAACTTTTATCCGTCTCCATAGTGGTTACAATGTGGGTTTACACACACACACACACACACACACACACACACACACACACACACACACACACACACACACACACACGCACGCACGCACGCACGCACAAACACACAAACACACATGCATTCATACATACATACATACATACACACACACACACACACACACACAAACAAACACACACACACACACACACACACACACACACATACCCTCTATTACTGCGAAATCTAATGCGAATAATTGCGAAACGTCAACCCTGGGTAACACTAAACTGGTGTCTACCCCCACCCCTACTCTACATCACGGGGCGGTCGGGTAGCCTAGTGGTTAAAGCGTTCGCTCGTCACGCCGAAGACCCGGGTTCGATTCCCGACATGGGTACAATGTGTGAAGCCCATTTCTGGTGTCCCCCGCCGTGATATTGCTGGAATATTGTTAAAAGCGGCGTAAAATCATACTCACTCACTCACTCACTCACTCTACATCACAGGGAGGAGGATGCCTTACCGACAGGTTGCTTATGGTGGTGGTACGGAGCTGGCGACACACCCAGTTGAGTGTGGAGTAGTACCCCGGCGAGTCCTTCTTTATAAAGTAGGAGAGATAGGTCATTGCCGAGAGATCATCCAGGTCGCTGCTGGCGAAGTCTTCAGGACTTATCACCTTGGGGACGTTCAGGTGTTGTTTTGCCAGCTGCATGGCCCGCCGACAGTTCTCCACCCTTCACGGAGGAAAAAACGGAAGGGAAAATAAAACTGATCCTTGAGGAATAAAAAAATATATACAAGGAATCTCGCAAAAAGGAGTGAAACGCAACAAGGACATGGGGTTGTTTGGATGAAGATTTCGATGGAGGTAAATCCGCATGTCATAGATTTAGTATAGATACGCAGTGTCTTTTTTCGAGAGACATTTGACCTTGAACTGTTGTAAACTTCAGTCTAAGCAAGGAGTAACTGAGATGCATTTGATCATAGTATCCATGTGATGTCAGAATATGTTCCCCATTTACCTTGCTGATTCAAACGGGGATCAGAGACCGCCTCCGTGGTCCAGTGGTAGAGCGTCCGTCCGGAGAGCGGGGTTCGATCCCCGGCCGCGTCACACCCAAATACGTTAAAAGATGGTACTTGTTGTTACCCTGTCTGACGTTCGGCATTAAGGGGCTCAAACAAGGACTGGTCGGCTCGGAGTCAGTATACTGTGTCTGAGTGGGGTATTCATGTTCAACTGGGGCATGGTATCTCAGTGAGCTAGCACTATAATTCGGCATCAGTCCGGACTAGTACAAGCAGCCACACAAACACGTACATGCACGTACACGTCGCTGTATAAGTGCAATAATCTTGGACGCGACGTTAAACCCCATTTCACCTCACCTCAAACGGGGATCGGGTGGTGACCTCCCTGTCTGACTCCCTGGTGGTATTTTTATTATTATTAGTAGTAGTAGTAGTAGTAGTAGTAGTAGTAGTAGTAGTAGTAGTAGTAAAAGTAGTAGTAGTAGTAGTAGTAGTAGTAGCAGTATACGTTTATAGTATCCAGGTACTAGTATCTGCCCAAATGCGGTTTTACTTGTTCCCCGACCAGTGGATCCGTTTGTATTCCAGTTATTATTTTCAACTTCATGGGGAGCATACGACCCAAGCTGCCTATGGGCGCTAGACTATTTTTACATCCACCTCATAAATCAGGTACCCATTCCCTGCTGGGTGAACAGAGGCACATTTGAACTAAGTCACTTTCCCAGGGTGACACCACGGGTGTTGGCACTTTTGATTCGGGTGTATGTACGTATTTGTGTTTCCACCATCTGGTCATCTACCATCAGATGAGGGGGTTGCTCATGCCCTCAACCACTGGTTTGCCGCGGTCATGTGCAGACCGTCGTGTTATAGTATGTGCTGACACTCACTCACTTACAAACACAGTACATAATTAATAGTATTCTGATATTTCCAACTTACTTATTTTTGGGGTTGAGGCTTCTCCAGTCTGGGCACGTTCCCGGCTTGCAGTATTCAATGAGGGCGCTGCGAATAGACACAGTCATATGATTTGTGTTTAACGCCGTATTCCAGTTAAAGCACGGCGTGTCAGCTTAATGTGGGAGGAAAGCCCGAAGTGATGCAGGTCTCAGACGTTTACCACTTCGGTGAAACCCACGAACACGGGTATGGTGCTGACAAACCTACACAAATAAGGGGCGAACCGGAATTCGAACCCACAATCATAGGTTTCTGGCGTGCCCAAGGACCGCAACTCTGCACAGCGAAATGCGGCACCTAAAACGACTGAGCCACCCGTGCCCCTCACAAATATAGAGGTGAGACACAGATTGCCTTGTGCACATTTTCTTCACACGATGTAATCGCTTCGTGTAATGAATTTACCCTCACTGTGATGAATGTGACGTTGGGTTGAACGCCGACTGGAACAATATTTCAGAAAGATCTCGGCCTGTCAATTTAATATAAGCCGAAGTGATTCAATGTCTTACCAGTTTGGTGAAGCACCGGTATAAGGTGCTGTCAAATCAAGAAACACAATTAGAGTGAAGATGGATTCGAAACCTTGAACACGTTTCCTGCAAGCCCTAAGGGACGCAACTCTACATAGTGAATTGCGGTGCTTTAGACGCCTTAGTTTTATTTACACCCTGTTTACTTGAAGTCGACGTTGAAGATGGACAGTCTGATGAATACGGCATCTCACCCAGGGCTTGTCAGTTTGTAAAAAGTTAGTTGGGTTTAACGCCGCTTTTTACAGTATTCCAGTTATATCACGGCGTGGTCAGTTTGTAAACAGTATTAACCAGTGTTTTGTGTGTAAACGGTACTATTAACCAACTTCAGTAGCAGAGAGATTAGTGACGTGAATTGGTTCTGACGTCATGGTAACGGAGGACAAAGCAAAGCATTGCGATGCAATTTCATTGTATCCTTATCTCCAAGGAGATATCGCTTGATTTAACTCAAGCGATACCTCCCGTGGAAGCCAGATTTTGATGATAAAAATATATGTTATCACGCTCAGTAATGATTACTATTCCAGTAATCGCAACCTTATATCTCCTTTCAACAACTACCAGGGCATCGTTATCAACATGATAGTTGAACACCCACATCACTTCTAATGTTAACAACACTTTAGTATGGCAGTGGGACGACTACGTACTGTAACGCTATGCCGTCGCTCCAGTCGGTGGTGAAGTTGCCGATGTTGATGTCGACGAGGACGGACTTAAACCACGCCATCATCAGCTTCTTGGGAGGGGCTTTGGACTTGCTGGAGCTGATCTGGTACCTCAAGATCAGATGCCATAGCAACCCCAGAACAAGCTTCAGGTTACCATTGACAACGTCCTCGTTTCCTAGAACAAAAGATATGCCGGATAACAATGTGAAAAAATATATCTTTCCTCCATATCGCTAGACCGATAACTTTAAGGTACATTAGGAGGAGCACAGTTAGAGGTTAGAGGCAGAAACATCGTTTAATTTCATTTGAAAACATACGCATTTGCCATGAAGTCATCCACGTTTTCTCGGCTGCTCCAGTGCACACGTTACACGCTATCCCTATTCCACAAAGCGAGAGCTCAGGGCTGCACCCCTCGTAGGCCTATGTTGCTAAGATCGCTTTGTGAAGCGGGCCCTTAATCCTCAAGTTGTACACGTTTCTGTCCGTGGTTTACAGGTGAATGGACGTCAAGACTGTACGGCGGCGGGATCTGCTTCTCGTGATCGATGTGTTAGTGAGTCAGTAATTTTGCTTTCAAAACTATTTGAGGTATATCACGGAATGTCAACTGGATATGATAAGGAAAGCCCGACCTTATGCAGTTATGATTACCACCTAGAAACAAAATCAGGAAAATCTGCGATTTCAACACACCAGGTTTTATAGGGTTCTGACACGTCTAAGGGACGCAACTCTAGAATGCGAATCGATCGACTGGGACGACTGGCCACCCGTGCACTCTCGGGTACACAGTCTCGACTGGTGTTGTACGGGGAAGTGACGCGTGGCAGATAAGTAAGTTGATTGTGCGTTCGCCAGCCACATAGAAGGTCGACGCTCTGTCACAAGAAGTGTCTGTTTGTAAATCCAGTTTTTGTGTTCACTGTTCACTGTTCACTGTTACCTTCACAACGTACACTATAGTTGTCTTTTTGCGAAACAGTAGTGTAAACACGACTCTACTGTACATACATACCGTGCCTTCGTCTTAAAGACCGCCTCCGTGGTCTAGTGGAAAGAGCGTCTGCCCGGAGAGCAGAAGATGTGGTTGGATCCGGAGGCACATCATACCAAAAGACGTTGAAAGATTGTACTTGTTGTTACCATCCTCGGCATTAAGGGGAAAAACAGGGACTATCTAGCGTGAAGTCCCGATACTGTGTTTGAGTGGGCTATCCGTGTTAAACTAAGGCATGGTATCTTAGTGGGCCAGCACTATAAAACTCTCTCTCTCTCTCGCTCTCTCTCACACACACACACACACACACACACACACACACACACACACACACACACACACACACACACACACACACACACACACACACACACACACACACGCACACACACACACACGCACACACACACACGCACACACACACACACACTCCACAAACACACACACACACACGTCACGTGTAAAAGAAAATCTTCAACGCGACGTCAAACTCTTTTCACCTCCCCTCCACGTTATAGAGAATTATTTGTGAAGCATCAGCGCTGAACCAGATGTGGGTAAGGTCGTCATTACGTGTAAATACACACGTTACAATGCAGGCGTCATGCCTGCTTAAGCGTGGACAAAAGAAACGCAGAAATTCTGCAGCCTAAATCATACGCGATTCTGTTGATGAACATTGCAGGAATCGATTTGGATCGATATAATGAGAGCCAGGATAGGTTGTCTCGGTTTGAGTTCCGACATCACACCAAATCCACCTGGACAACGCTAGCCCAACTGATACTGAAAATGACCATGTCTTCTATCACTCGTCATGTATAATTTCGAAATAGCATTTTTATTAAAATATTTCATTATAAAATTGGTTAATTCATTTTGTTTACACTTACATACATCCCTTCCCATGGGTAAGTGGGCCCACGATGGCTCGGTCGTCTTAGCCGCCACAATTTGCTGTGAGGAGTTCGTACCTTTGGCAGGACAGAAACCTATGATTGTGGGTTCGAATCCCGGTTCGTCAGCACCATACCTGTACCCGATGGTTTGACTAAAGTGGCAAACGTCTAAGACCTGCATCAATTCGGGATTTCCTCCCACATTAAGCAGACATGCTATGACATAACTGGAATAATGTTCAAAGCGGCGTTAAACCCAACACACACACTCACTCACTGTGAGAGTAAGATTGTAAGCACCTTTTAACAATAGTACAGCCACGTCGCGGCGCGGAAAACAACACGTCCCCATGAGAATCCGATCACAAAATGTAAAATTGAGGAAATCAAACTTCACGAATTCAGATCTATTAATAGCCTTCCACAGATCTAGTGACAAACCGATGATAAATTGACACCGACAGTACCATTAAAGGAACATCGAGCGCAGACCGAATCTAACTCTGAATAAAAATCATGAGAGTACCCGTTCGATAGAAAAGCAACATGGAGTATTATTTTCCTTGATTGGGAATCAATTACCAAGTTGGCCAAAGGAAATTTGATATTTATCCCGCAACTTTAGATCAATATACTTTGCCCGGAACATAAATTCTCAATCACGTGATATTGATCGAAGGCCCCGTCACTTAAGCTGTCAAACGACGTGAAGAAACAGTAAGCAGAACTTTGTTTTAGTTATGGCCACAATACCTGTGCGACGAAACAAATTATACAGTCAGTAATCACCACCTGTTCCTAAATTACCCGTTCAGGGCCGTTTACCGCCCCCACTATAAAACTGACTTGACTATTGTGTATAGAAACATCACACATCCCTGAATACCCCCAGCACTATGCGCTGTTAACGGGATTAAAAGCCCGTGTTGTTTTAAGACAAACACGCACTTGACCTCGCACCATGAAGGAATCCCCTGGCCAAGCGTGTTGAAGGGTCACCGCTAACCACATTGCACGCCTAATCCGTTCTTGGCCGCTGTGTGGTTGGCAAAAGATGGTATGATATTCAGGGTGGTGGTGAAAAAAATAATTTGTCCTTAGATTCTACAAATAACATGCGTCTTGTAAAAACAAATTGTATTTTTCTTTACAGATTTCTCGGCTTCTTTCACAGACACTTACTGCCTGCTCTGAAGCAGGGGCTTGACATATCCTGTATTAATAAATGAAAAAAAAGATCTGCACACACGTGCATTAGTCCGGACCAGTACAAGTAGTAACACTCACACGCGTGCATTTGTCCGGTCTAGTACAAGCACTCACACGAACACACACGTGCATCAGTCCGGACTAGTGCAAGCACTCACACGCACACACATGCATGCGCGTCGCTGTGTTTGCGTGAAATAGTTCAATTCCATTTGACCTCATCTCCACGTTATAAGGGCGTACATAAGCCCCAATAGCGCTGATCAGCCTATTCTTACAGAAGTCACCTCGTGTCAATACATACTTTACAAAACAGGAGTCACCTCGTATCAATACATACTTTACAATACAGTGGTCACCTCGTATCAATACATACTTTACAATACAGTAGTCACCTCGTATCAATACATACTTTACAATACAGGAGTCACCTCGTATCAATACATACTTTACAATACAGTAGTCACCTCGTATCAATACATACTTTACAATTCAGTAGTCACCTCGTATCAATACATACTTTACAATACAGTGGTCACCTCGTATCAATACATACTTTACAATACAGGAGTCACCTCGTATCAATACATACTTTACAATACAGTGGTCACCTCGTATCAATACATACTTTACAATACAGTGGTCACCTCGTATCAATACATACTTTACAATACAGTGGTCACCTCGTATCAATACATACTTTACAATACAGGAGTCATGCCTGCTTAAGAGTGGCAAGAACAAACGCAGAAATTCTGCAAGCATATGCGATACTGTTGATCAACAGTAAGTGACAGGACTCGATTTGAGTCCATATTATATAGAAAAACGACAATTTTGGACAGTGACCAAAACCGTATCCTGTCTTAATCATCGCACGATCGCACGCACACGCACGCAAATCCATGAAAGAGTATTATGTGGTGGGTATCTATTAGGTGAGTAATATCTCTGGAATGTTATTACTGTGCGCGCGATGACAATCCTGATTCTGTGGCGTTAAAGAGACACCCCCAGTCGTCGAGCGTGATGTATGTGCTACAGAAAAAAGGATACAAAAGTCGTAGGTAACTTTATGACCAGGGTTTGTACAGTGTTCTGACCACTCACAACTATATGGTATGGAGGGAGCCCTGAGGGTATGTCAAATATAGACGTAAGAGCTTTTCCCGCCGTGACATACCAACCATACACTTACATCACGCCCTTGACGTTAAACCCACAGTACAGGATCACACATATACTGCTATACGGGTATGTTAGGCCCGATGGAGCGTGACGGTACGTAATAATAATAATCATAATAATACTAATAATTCAGAGCTGAACGCTCGCAATAAAGTTAAAAGCCTCAAATACGTATGCGGCACCCGTCCTTTCACATTCTCTTGGTGGTGTGGATTAGACGAAACAGGAAATTCAGGGTACTGACACCCTCACACGAAGAATCATGTCAGACAATAGATCCCACCACCATCGCTCTGCCCTCAATCGCTTATATTTACCAATGATAACAGGAGGGCGTGGTTTGTTTAACGTGGGGGCTCTTCATGATAGAATTGTATTGTGCACTTTTTCACACATTTATTTGTCTGATGATCCGCTTGTGAAGCATGTTAAGACACATGCATATGAGGAAAACAAGGCATTCCACAGTTTTCTTAAAAGAGCCAAGGATGTGGGACATAATCTCAATGTCAGTGTTAATTTTGTTGATGACTCTGTACTGCTGGACCAAGCGAAGTGCCATATCAAGTCGGCCCAGATTGACATGCACAAATGTTCGTGATATCTTATTTCCTCCTATTGGAGTCCACAGTCAACACTGGTATCTGGGAATTGTACTTCACCTCCGCTAAGAATAGATATAGGTCAAACTTTACTTAACACGCCCAAAATATAGCACGATCGGAATATATCTGTATGGGACAAGACAGCAGTGTGTGTGGTTGGGTGAGAACTAGAGTCGTGTGTTGTGTGGTATTGAATATACTGGAAACTAATACACGTTCGTAACCGATGACCTGTCTCATTCTTATTGTACATACAGCGACAAACCATGAT